TGCTCGAGTTATCGTGCTAACGGACACACATATATATATATAAATATATATATGAATTTAAACGGATGGTGTTTTTGGCCTCTAGGGACCTCAAAACGAAAAAGTAAATCGGTCCCGGGTCCAGGTCTTACCATGAGTACTACGGTAATAGCTTATTCCCTATATGCGAAATTCGCTAAACAGATCAGGGCAATTTTTTTGACACTTTAATCATCAAAATCGGTCCAAAAATGTGGGAGGAGTTCTGTTTACAAAAATTGGCTTAGCGTATTATACAGGGTGAGTTTTAATTGCCCCCCCCCCAACTTTTTTCTACATTTTTTCAAATATCAATCCCAGACCACTTCCAAACATTGTTGGGTAGTAAGTACTTAATTTTGACAAGGTGATCATTTCCGGCCGCCATTTTGGATCCGCCATATTGGATGCAAAATATTTTTTTCAATTGTAAAGGTGGGGTTGTGACCCATTATTTCGAACTACATTTCTACCCTGATTACAATGCCGCAAACCGTTTTTAAAAATCTTGATTCATTCCAAAGTTATGAGGGTTTTTTAAAACTTTATTTTTAGCCCATTTTAACATTGTGCATTTACAAACTAAGACCATAATCTCAAAATAGTGCTAGATAAAGATAAGTAAACACTACAGTTTATGACAGATGTATTTTTTTGGCCGCCATCTTGGATCCGCCATTTTGAAATGTGATAATTTATTTTAAATATGAAGGGTGTGTTGTGACCCATCATTTCGAACTACTTTTTTAAGCTAAACTCAATGCCGCAATCCATTTTTTGTAATCAAGTTTTATTTATGATATATTGCAAATTTTTTGTTAAAAATGTCAATATTTCAAAATCAAAATATAAAAATGAAAAACAGATCATGGAATTGAGTTCAGCTTAAAACAGTAATCTGAAATGATGGGTCACAACCCCCCCTTCATATTTAAAAAAAATTATCACATTTCAAAATGGCGGATCCAAGATGGCGGCCGAATAAAATACATCTGTCATAACCAAGTGAAAATAGGTCGACAATGACTGGTAGTGTTTACTTATCTTTATCTAGCACTATTTTGAGATTATGGTCTTAGTTTGTAAATGCACAATGTTAAAATGGGCTAAAAATAAAGTTTTAAAAAACCCTCATAACTTTGGAATGAATCAAGATTTTTAAAAACGATTTGCGGCATTGTAATCAGGGTAGAAATGTAGTTCGAAATAATGGCTCACAACCCCACCTTTACATTTGAAAAAAAATATTTTGCATCCAATATGGCGGATCCAAGATGGCGGCCGGAAATGACCACCTTGTCAAAATTAAGTACTTACTACCCAACAATGTTTGGAAGTGGTCTGGGATTGATATTTGAAAAAATGTAGAAAAAAGGTTGGGGGGGGACAATTAAAACTCACCCTGTATATAGAAGATAGATAGATTATTTGTTTTAGTCTCTACAAAATGGTTTGAAAAGACATTGCAAAATTTTATGTTTTTTTTGGGTCAAAAATGGGAAAACCCAACTTTTACTCCATAAATCCCCCCATAAACCCCCGTTCCCATAGTCCGATCATGCTGGTTCGCGAACTCGTTCGAATAAATGTAGGTTTACACGTTTATACCAAATTTAATTAAAATTGGACAATTTTTGCTCCAGTTATTGTGCTAACGGATATATATTTTATATATTATATATTATATATAACGGATATACACACACACCACATGTGGGTGTGTGTGTGTGTGTGTGTGTGTATGAATTTGAACGGATGGTATATTTTGTATCTAGGGACCTCAAAACGAAAAAGTAAATCGGTCCCTGTAAATGACTGGCAATAAAAACATACTGGCGAATGGTGACAATGGTAATACCAAGCAGGCTACATTATTAATAGGTAACGAAGATAAAGATGGACAACCTAATGCGGCTACGAGAGGGAGAGGGAAACATTTATTGAAAACACTAAAAACGAGATCAGCTTTTGAACAATTATAAGATATTTAAAAGAAATGTTGATTATATCGAACTGTTCTTATGTGCATCTAAGTATTTCCATTAGTTGCATAATATTTTAGTTAACTCTTTTAAACTCATTGACTGTTATTAGTTTTTAAATAACCCCTGTAATACTTTGCAATTGCTCGATCTCAACAACAGGTACACTAGTACTTCGACTATTTAGTAAAAAATTGTAATTTATGACAACTGAGCTGAAATAAAAAGGTTAATTGAGGAAAAGCTTGCTTTGAATCTGTTAAGTGATAAACCTTATAGTTGTCTTGTCACGTACAAGTCACATGTTCCCGAAACAATGAAGTTCACGACTAATATAAAAGCGTTTGAAAAGCGATACCATGCAAAACAATAAACGAGCAATACAAAGCATCACTAATACATAATAACTATCATAACCTTACATTATCAGAAACTCATTTAATACACCAATCGTACGAATAGTTTAAACCTCGTTTTCATCCAACGCATATACACATAAAAAGATAGCACGAACAATTATAGTATTATTAAGTTTTAAGTTTAAAATTAACGAGAGCATTGGAGAACTCGTAAAGCTTTAAATCTGAGTAGGCCTACCCATTGGCCAGATTCTTTATAATCGCAATGCTCTCTTAGATTGAACCTAAATCGTAAAAAAACTGCTCACTGTCACTATTGTAAACGCCAACAATGACCAAAACTATTATCAAAACATATTTCATCATATTATAATCACTATCAATATTACGATTGTAATATTGAGCCTTTTACTCTGTTATGTATTTTATTGTGCAATTGATATTTTTAATAATATAAAAGCTATCGAATAATAGCTAATCTGATTTCATTTTCGACATTTTCATAATTATTATTATTTAAGTACATCTGGGGCCTATTTCATAATAAAGTACAGGGTGGAGCGCGGGAAATTGCTATTTTGAGTTGCAGGTGGTTGGCAGCACTGTTAGTCAAAAGGAGGCGGAAGTGGGCGATGATTGTTGTGACTGACCGGAAGTTTGTCTTCAGCTCATTTTGAGTTGCCATCATGGAGTGGACACGTGAGGAGCGTTCATTTTGTGTTGAAGCATATTTTTCAAATAACTACTCGATAATTGCAGTGCAACGTGCTTTCCGTTTGCGTTTCGCTGTTTCCCCACGCGGGCGTGTTCCTGGACGGCAATCAGTTGTGAATTGGGTGAATGCATTCAGGACAGCAGGGAATGTGTCATCTGTACGAAGAGGACCTGCGAGGAGTGTTACAACACCACAAAATATCGAACGAGTTAGAGCAGCAGTATTGCAATCTCCGAAACGCTCTGCTTGGAAGCAAGCACTTGCTCTTGGCATTTCAAGGCGTTCTCTCCACCGGATTCTCCATAGTGAACTGCATTTCCACCCATATAAAATGTGTGTGGTCCAACAATTGTCAGCACGGGATTATTTGACACGACGAACATCTTGTGAAGACATGCTTGCAACCATACCTCGTGACGCAATTGTGTTCTTTTCTGATGAGGCACATTTTCATCTCAGTGGGTGTGTAAACAAGCAAAACATGCGGTACTGGAGTGACACAAACCCCAGAGAAGTTCATCAGAGACCTCTGCATTCGGACCGCGTCACTGTGTGGTGCGCCTTATCACGAGTAGGCATCATTGGCCCTTACTTTTTTCCGGCAACTGTGAATGCCGAACGTTACCTAACTATGCTGCAGGATTTTTTCCATCCAGCACTTGAGGCAATGCAATTAGAGGATACATGGTTTCAACAAGATGGTGCCACTGCACATACAGCGAGAGTTACCATTGATCTTTTGAGGCAAATGTTTCCTGAACGGCTCATCTCTCGCAATGGTGATCTGAACTGGCCGGCACGCTCACCAGACTTAGCTCCATGCGATTTTTTCCTTTGGGGTTACCTGAAGTCCAAGGTGTATTGCAACCGTCCCAAAACCCTGGAAGACCTAAGGAACAATATTGCTGCTGAGATTGCCAGAATACCAGTCGACATGCTTGAAAAAGTGCATGAGAACTTCAGAAAACGTATGCAGCAGTGTGTGGATCGGGAAGGTCAACATTTGCCAGATATAATATTTAAAACAAAATAATTTGTAAATTCCATTACTATTCAATGTAAGTGAAATATAAAATTAAGTTTCTACATGTTCATAATTTTTTTATTCCACTCCCAAATAAGCAAATTACCGCGCTCCACCCTGTACAAACTAATATTATTAGTAAATCAGCTGATCGCCTAATGCAAATCTAATGGAAATTACAAGTTACAAGTTGTAACTTGTAACTTGTAGTTTATTATGAAGTGGGCCCCTGGTAGATTTATACATTTTACATCTACTCTACTTTCCGTGTTTCTAAAATGCCAATAGGAATTTCAGTTTCCGTTTCCCGTGCGTGTGTATAAACAGCTGATTTCGTCATTAAACTAACAACAGCTGTTTGGTAACCAAATCACGACAGCTCTCACAGCCCCCTTATTTGCGAATGTTGGAATGGCTGGTAGTTAGTTATATGTAAAATAGCAAATCCTGAAAACGTTATTATACCAACTTAAATATAATTATTACGGGATTTAGTAAACTATTTGGGTTAAGACTTTCTCAGCTAACGTATAACGTCTCACCAAATACTTTATACTTCGAACCTAGAGGTTTTCGTTCATGTTCTTCCCATATCCACTAGCTATTTGCTTGCTTAAAGTGTTTTATAGTCATCACATCCATATAGGAATCATACCCGCCGTGAACAAGCTCAAGTGGGCCGTGCCTGAATTACCGGTAGGTACTGTAAAATGTAAAGATGTACACTACTGGAACACATGGACCGGCAATCCGTCTTGACCTGGGACCTGGTGTGCAAAAATATCTAGGCCTACCTCCTTTAAGTTAATTTGTAGGGACTAAACAAAAGTCTTCAATATGTATATTTTCTCACTACGAAAGAGTGATTAGAGGAATAATTACTGTAAATAAATTTTACTTACACAAGTCCAAGACGTTCTTCATTATTATGCTCGTAACATTTTTGGAATTGACGCAGCCAGCTTCCAAGCAAGCGAACCCGGCTTGCATTACTATAAAAATAAACAACATTAAAATGCAAAATTACTACACGCAGTGTAATGTAGGAATTTATAAACAAAATGTTGCAAATGGTCGAAATTACAATTAGTCAAAAAGAATCATTCACTAACGACTTTTACGCTATGTTAAATGAAGCAACAAGTGACCTAAGTTACGACTGTAAAATCCATTTATTTGTAATTTCTATTATGTTACGGTATAGTACCTACCATTGAATCGGAAACCATTTCAAGTATCCACCAGAGATTAACATTTATGACACCAATAATCCTATGATTATAAGACATCGATTTTTCAAGCCTAACCTACAACAACCATCTCTGTCTATAAGACTTATAGCATCATTCACACTTTTAGACAATGAATAAAATAAAATTTGTTTTTCTAAAACACAATATAATAAACGGTATCAGCAATCAGACACATACTTTCTCCCATAAGCTTGTCAACAACATTTATCGTGGGTAAGCGGTGGGAGTTACTATGATATTTTATAGGGAAAAATCACAAAAGTTGCAATAACTTTTAAACCGCAATTGTTACAGCAATCAATGGGGGTGCACTATTTAATTTAGAATTACTGTACACATCCACACATGGATAAATGATTTTATTCGACAACTTCAAAATAATAGAGATGCTGCATTTCGTAAAGCCAAGCGCACCAAACTCCCTGATGATTGGGCCTGTTACAAAAGACTCAGGAATCAAACCCAACAACAGATTAGAAACTCTAAAGCCACGTATTAATATTATTATACATTTTTCTCCCAGAAACAATCCTCCAAAACTTTGTGGACCAAAGTTAAGAACATTGGTATCGGCAAGTCTGAAAATGTACATCAAATATCCATCAGTCTCGACACTATTAACAACTTTTTGTGAATATTCCTATAAGTTCTGCAGGTGCCTTTAACTATTTTGCCGATACAACAAATAGACCACTTGATATGCCAGAACTGTTTTTCCTCAGTTAGTGAATTTGATGTCCGCAGGGCAATTCTAGGGATGACAAGTAACGCAGTCGGCGCCGATGATATTCCTATCAAGTTTATTAAAGACACCCTCCCAGTTACTCTCCCGGTACTAACATTCATATTTAACAGATCATTGGCAACCTCTACCTTCCCCTCTATCTGGAAATCAGTAATTGTTCGCCCCCTTCAGAAAATTTCATCTCCCAATACCCCTTCTGGTTATAGACCAATCAGCATTCTTCCTGTCCTTTCCAAATGCCTTGAAAGAATAGTGCATGATAAATTCTCTGTTTTTTTGGAAGAGAACAAAGTCTTGTCGGATTTTCAATCTGGGTTTCGCGCTAAATGTATCACTACTAACTTACTGCTTTGTTGAAAAATTACAGATGACATACCGTGCAATGGATAATATACAGGCCACAATTTTAACCCTCTTTGACTTTTTAAAGGCGTTTGACTGCGTATACCATCCTCTTTTACTCCTCAAACTGCGCTTGGCTGGTTTCACCTGATCGTTAGCCGTGTGTAAAAGTTGGTGACAAATGTTCTACTTGGGAGCAGATTACTAAAGGTGTTCCTCAATGAGCTGTTCCTGGCCCACTACTGTTCTCAATTTACATCAATGACATCACAGAACATATCACCAACTCACACTACCATCTGTATGCTGACGACTTACAGATTTACTCCCTCTTTAGTGTAGACGAGATGGGTACTGAACATTGACATTGAATCAATAACTCACTGGGCCACAAACAACGGACTTAAACTCAACATTGACAAAACTCAGGCAATGATTGTTGGCTACCCCAGACTAATGACTAAAATCAACTTACTCACTGCACGACGACTTAGCTTTGACGGAAAAGATGTTACCTACTGCGACAAGGTGAGATACTTATAGGAATCTCAATGAACAAACATTTTAATTGGCCTGACCAAGCAAATTCCACTTCTAACAGGGTTTTTGGGGCTATTCACACTATCAAACTTTTTGCAGAATACCTTCCACTGAACTTGACAATCATGTTAGTAAAAACTCTCATCTTGACTCATTTCAACTACTGTGATGAGGTGATCAATGACATGACTATAAAGTTTCTAGCAGACTTCAGCGAGCGCAGAATTCCTGTTTCAGATTCATATTTTTTGACCTTAGACGATATGACCATGTCTCCCTATTTCAACCTGATTTCATTAATGAGGCTAAATGAACTTCGTTCCGCTCGTAGAGGCTCTCTTCTTTTATCTACACCAATTCACCGGTCAACAGTTAATAAATCTTCCTTAGTATCTGCAATTCTTATGTTGAATTTTCTTCCTGGCCATATAAAACCCACCGTGCGAGGTTTGGGGCGGCTACGTCCAAATTCACCAACATTTTTGGGGTCGTTTCTAATGTCTAAATTCACCAACTTTCTACCTGGAGCAGGTACGATATTTCTCCCGGCGGGCGGGGAAGGAATTCCGAATAGTTTGCCCTCGCCTGCTCCGTCTCGTCTCGGCGAGAGTGTACTGCTTAGCCCTAATAGTACTGTTTAAGCTGTGATTGTTTCAGGCAGCTTTAGGTTAGGTTAGGTTAGGTTAGGTTAGGTTTGGTTAGGTTAGGTTAGGTTTGGTTAGGTTAGGTTAGGTTAGGTTAAGTTAGGTTAGGTTAGGTTAGGTTAGGTTACAGTACACTCTCGCCGAGACGAGATGGAGCAGGCGATGGCAAACTATTCGGAGGGAATTCCTTCCCCTCCCGCCGGGAGAAATATCGTACCTGCTAAAGGTAGAAAGTTGGTGAATTTGGACATTAGAAACGACCCCAAAAATGTTGGTGAATTTGGACCTGGCCGTTTGGGGCAGAGATAAAAGCTATTGTTTTGAGCAGCAGGCATGAGTGAGTTTCTGGCGCTGATGTGGTGGGTTGTTGGTGGCTTGTGTGAATGGACTTTTTAGGATTAGTAAATTTAATTTCAACGTGTTTATAATATGGCACTTAAGATTATTTAATTTTATTTATAAAGTGGATAGTTTTATTTATGTTTTAGATGTTAAGTGGTAGAGAGGACTTGCTGGTCCTAACTTCACCTCTTAATTAAAGACATTTTTCATTTCATTTCACATGGACGTGGCGTCCTCCCTACATACCCACACAGACTGACATCACTTTGAAAACCACTTTTTCGGGTTCAGGGGACCCAAAACAGATTCATCCACTCAAAACTCAAACTTGAAAATTTTGACGAAAACAATACTTTCTCCATATACTATGTATAGGGGGAGAAAGTAAAAATGAATGGGCCGCTGCGATGTTAGAACAAATTCAGCTTGTATTAAAAAAGTATTAAACAAAATTAAATTTGTCGTAACGCACCGTGGAAATTATAAGTTTTTTACTGGCCTATTAGTATTTTCCCAAGTGAACAAACATTGTGTTAACTTCCTCATGATTCCCCGAGGCAGTTACCACCAAAGTTTCCGATCAGAAGATGAATCACTATGAATGGTATTGACACCTATCAATTACTAACTGCCATGCATTTTGGTCGACACTCGACAGCTCAAGTTTGTAATCAATCGTAAACATTTGACAGTGCTAAATGTCTGACATGAACAGAACACACTAACTGTGTACGTGACAGATCAGCTGTGACACGCGTGGATATCACTCATCAACTACATCTGTTTGCATAGGCTAAAGCTGCCCACCAAGAAATCGTCAACCCTACAGCCACAGACATAGGCTAAATCATCCCACCGAGAGCTCACCAACCCCACAGCCACAGATATAGGCTAAACCTGCCCACCAACAGCTTACCAATCTCACAGCCACAGACATAGGCTAAATCATCCCACCGAGAGCTCACCAACCCCACAGCCACAGATATAGGCTAAACCTGCCCACCAACAGCTTACCAATCTCACAGCCACAGACATAGGCTAAATCATCCCACCGAGAGCTCACCAACCCCACAGCCACAGATATAGGCTAAACCTGCCCACCAACAGCTTACCAATCTCACAGCCACAGACATAGGCTAAATCATCCCACCGAGAGCTCACCAACCCCACAGCCACAGATATAGGCTAAACCTGCCCACCAACAGCTTACCAATCTCACAGCCACAGACATAGGCTAAATCATCCCACCGAGAGCTCACCAACCCCACAGCCACAGATATAGGCTAAACCTGCCCACCAACAGCTTACCAATCTCACAGCCACAGACATAGGCTAAATCATCCCACCGAGAGCTCACCAACCCCACAGCCACAGATATAGGCTAAACCTGCCCACCAACAGCTTACCAATCTCACAGCCACAGACATAGGCTAAATCATCCCACCGAGAGCTTACCAACCCCACAGCCACAGATATAGGCTAAACCTGCCCACCAACAGCTTACCAATCTCACAGCCACAGACATAGGCTAAATCATCCCACCGAGAGCTTACCAACCCCACAGCCACAGATATAGGCTAAACCTGCCCACCAACAGCTTACCAATCTCACAGCCACAGACATAGGCTAAATCATCCCACCGAGAGCTCACCAACCCCACAGCCACAGATATAGGCTAAACCTGCCCACCAACAGCTTACCAATCTCACAGCCACAGACATAGGCTAAATCATCCCACCGAGAGCTTACCAACCCCACAGCCACAGATATAGGCTAAACTTGCCCGTCAAGAGCTCACCAACTCTACAGCCATTGACATAGGATAAAATTGTCCTCCAAGAGATATGATTTAATAACTAATGCTCTATAAAAGAAATAACGTGAATGCAGTTGAGGAGGCAGAGTGCCTACATCAATAATGTATTACGTCATAACTTAAAAATTACACGCTGATATTAATAGATAGAAAATGAAGGGTTTCAGATAGTTACACTTCATTAAATATAGGAACATAACAAAGCAGATGGTCGTAAGAGAAAAATTACAGCGTCTTGACACTCGATTTCCTGATAGAGTTGCCGTGACAGACCGTATGTACTGACATGGGGAGACAATGAAGGGAGGAA